TAAAGTTTGGTAGAGGAGGGATAATGTTATTATAACAAAGCATAAAGGCATGGTTGGGTGAGTTTGGTGTGGAAGAACTTTACTGACCTGCACTGAGCCCTGACCTCAACCCCATCAACATCTTTGGGATGATCTAGAATGGAGATTGTGAGCCAGACTCTCTCGCCCAACATCAGTGTCGGATGTCACAAATGCTCTTCTGGATGAATGGGCAAAAATTCCCACACTCTTCAAAATCTTGTAGAAAGCTTCCCAGAAGAGTGGAAGCTGTTATAGTTTCAAAGGGGGACCAACTCCATATTTATGCCTATGGATTTAGAATGGGGAGTCATAAAAGCACTTGTAGGTGTAATGTGTAGGTGTCCCAATACTTTTGTCCATATAGTGTATATTCAGTATGCACAACTAAAAGAATTAAGCAGCAAAAACTGTAATCCCAGTGTACAGTCTCTGTAATTCCCTATCAGTTCACTCAAAATATACTGACAAATGCCATAGAAATGAATTAGTGGGCTTATAAGGCCCCACAGTGTGAAGCTTTCTATGTTAGAAAATAAATAAAACAGATTTGCATTAAAAACTTTAACAATTAACCTTTTTTCCGATTCTTTGTATAAAATGATGTTTTGTACATAATCATTCATAAATATAGAATTAAAATACTGTTTTTTTAAATTGCTTTGGTAATTTTTTGAGAAATACCATACACTGTCTTGACTGCTACTAGTCATGTGACTTTCTCAGAGCATCTTTAAAAGCAAATTTTTCATGGAGACTTTGCCATTTGATCAGGACAGTCCCTTCACATTCACACAAATATCTCAAAATAAAAACGAATATTTTGGTACAAAACTCATGGTAACAGGCATAAAAGATGGGTGTTTATTAGATATTTTGTGAAATATTTCTCATTAAAAGAGCAAGTGGGCTTATATGGTCTGTGGGCTTTTAAGGGGCTTTTCCCTTATAATTTTCTAAGTACTTTTCTTCACAGGGGCACACACGCTAAACACTGAAAGGGCATGGTCAACCTTCAAAAGTGAAGTATGGCGTTTGCGTGGAAACCGGACTGAGAAGGCTCTCAAAGGACAGCTGAGATTCATTGAGTGGAGCTATTGGTTGGGGCAAAGGCACAAACATGGAGTTCTTGGAAGGCTACTAAAAGACATTAAAAAATTTGACTAGACCATGCAGTGCTGGGTATTAGCAAAGGGGACCATCAGGGCTCTTCAGATCCTGCAGAGATCTAATGAGATAAAAAAAAATACATGTCTGTTTGAGCTGAACGATTTGGGCAAAATATCTTTTTTGTGATTGTTTTCTATAAATTGAGGTAAGTATTTTGTTCCTTCTGATTGATGTAATTACCTAGAAGCAGTTCACAAGCTTTATGTTATTAGGCTACACTTTCCCACTTAAAACATATTGATCATGTAGACTATAATTAAAATTGCAGCTCTTGCAATCTGAAACTTGCACTCTTTCAAACTGCAATTTTGATGTAATAATTATGTAATAATTAATCTTTGTGCCATAATGTGTGTAATTTTTAGTTTATTTTAATGTAATATAATCATCATTCTTGTAGCTCTTCAAGAATTGTAGTAATACTCTTATTTTACTTTTTGGTTGGAATCAAAAGGTTTAAATTATTGAAATGCCAGACAGAAAATGGTCCAAGCAGGATTTTTTCTCTGTGGTTTCTAGGACTGAAGTTGCATTAAACACTGACTTCACTGAAGTGGTTTGGAATGTTTTCCTGTTTAATGTGCATTAAATGTTTGAGTTAAAACTCATCTTGATTTTGTGTTGTCTTAAACTGTGTTGTGGTTGTCAGTCTACAGAGCAGCTGCTGAAACCCCGCTGAATGTCTAGCTATTTAAAACATACATGCAGTCAACAGTGTTTTTGATTGTCTTTAGAACTTTACTAATAAAACAGAAATGCTGTAGATTATCTGTTTAATTAACTAGTGTTTCACTTTATTTGGATGGTCCAAATTCACATCTACAGGTGCATACTTACTTGAGAGGAATGATATACTTCTACTGACTTTCTTCTAATAAGCCCCTGGAGTAATGGCTTAAAAGACAGTTTGAATGTCTATATACAGTCTACTGATAATCTGTTGATGGTCAGTAGCACATCTATAGAAATAATACTGACAAATAGAGAGTTTCTACATACAGTCTACTGATATTCTGTTGATGGTCAGTGGCACATCTATAGAAATAATACTGATTGCTTGATGATATTCTGGGAGTGATAAATAGATCACCTTCAATAAGACTTGATTATAGTTTACTGAGGGTCTGTTGAATGTCTATTAAAGTTCATCTGCAGGCCATAATCAAGAGTCAAAGAGAGTGTTTGTATAATGGAAACCAATGTTATGTTGATGTTTTAGTTTATGGTAAGTTAACACTCTACAGATAGTATCTTATTGCTAGTCAACAGATGCACCGTTAGCAGCTTTCTGATAGTGTGTTGAACATCTACAGGGGGACCATCAAAATAAAGCGTTACCAACACATTTTGTTAGTAATCAATGCAGAAATCTAGGTAATTCCAAAAGTGTGGATTTTTTTATGTCCATCTCCCTGCTCAATGTGTTCTGTTACCACTCTGCTCCAGGTTTTCTGTTTTCCTCTCCCTGCTGAAAGTGTGTAAAAGTTTGTAATTGTAATTTTTAATTAGGTAATAGTGGGTAACAAGTAGTAATAACTAATGACTAGTTATAAGCAGCCAGCTAGATGTTCCAAATTATCAGCTTTTGATGTATATTACAAATAAAATGTGGTCTGGAAAATGTTTGATTCCATCTAGCTTTTATTTAATAAATTTGTAATGAACACCCATTTAACCTGCAGATAAGCACATTATAATAACCCCTATACTGAAATGTTACCCAGATTCCTCAGCATAAGATATTAAGCCCTCACATTTGATCTGTCTGGCAATAAGCACTAAAAAGTTTACTTGTTTGCTTCAGTTCCTCCAGGAGTAAAGCAAGTGGAGTTTTGTAACAAATTTGTGAAATTTCATTGATTTTTAAGCTTGAGGCCTCATTACATTCACTTATGCATTTGAAGACTTCTTGCTTTGTTGTAGTACCACCATGTCTCCAAAAGAGGGCACATAGAAAACATATCATGCTCAGTTGTGGGTGGCGATGGGCTTGTTTTCATTTTAAAATGGTGTTTCTTAGACTAGTCCACATTCTTGAACCAAGTAAACACCAATTACCACTGTGTTGAGAGCCAAAAATGTGGACCACCTGGGAGAACCTGAGTAGAACCTATGATTTCAGATTAACATTATTATGTTAACAACATGCAAGGAACCACACCAGACATTAAATCAGATTTCAGACATACATCTGTAAATATCTACATTGCTGATAGTGAATGCTTTTTCTTTTAGCTTTTTCTCCAGCTAGTTAAAGCATCATTCCTCAGATTGAGAATATGCTCCTTTTACAGACATTATTTTTTTAATTTTTAAGGGGTAGTTTTGATCACCACCAGTGTAACGTTTACATGACTACATGTTGCTGTTGGTCAGCACCAACCCTACAGAAGGACACATGCTAGACTGTTTCTGCCATTTTTCATGAAAAGAGTACAGTTTAGGTCCCAGTACCTTTTTAAAAGCAATGAACTAACTGTTGCTTTTCATTTGTGTAAACAGTGAAGAGATCTGTAATTTAATTTAATCTGTAATTTAAAAATGAAAATATTACAATCAGCAATTAAATGATAACAAAACACACAAAAAGGTCTGTATCCAACTTTAATTTTATTTTGGAATATAGTCATTAAAATCTTCCAGTAACACCATAATTGCACTGTTATGTAGTTCATTTCCAAACAATGTAAAACTAAACAAATTATGTTTCCCAAATAAAATATTTAACAAATGAAGTAATTTTAACCTGTGTCCCACATTTTATGCTCAACCCTGACACCCAAACCTGTAAGCTGTTCCACCTCATAAAAAAACAGAACATTCCATTTATTACGATAAATACAATAATTTATATGATCAGCTTATTGGAGAGTAGGATCTTTTGGTTCAACCCTGTTATTTAGTCATTTTTCGTCTTAAAACACTTAATTTAGTAGTTTATGTTACCAGAAGTGCCAGTGTCAGTTCAAATTACTAATACAAGAGTTTTCTGAAATGAACTGTATTGACAGAAAGTGCCTTCTGCAGATTGTGGCGTAGCTAGCATGGTAAAAAAACAAAAAAAAAAACAGAAATCAATGCTGCAAAAAAAATGTGATTTGTCACTCCACAGAATACGTTTGCACTGCTCCAGTGTCCAGTGACAGTGTGCTTTACACCCCCACCCCCACTTTGCATTGTGTATTTTGATCTTAGGCTTGTGTGTAGCTGCTCTCCTATGGAAACCCATCTCATGAAGCTCCTAACATGCAGTTCTTTTGCTGATGTGGCTTCCGGAGGCAGTTTGGAACTCTTTAGTGAGTGATTCAGGATAGGCACTGTGCGCTTCGTGACTCAGCAGCCCCACTCTGTGAGTTTATGTGGTCTACCACTTCGTTGCTTGGTTGTTTTTGCTCTAAGACAGTTCCATTTTACAATAATAGCACTTACAGTTGTCTAGGGCAGATCTAGCAGAGAGACATTTCACAAACTGACTTGTGGCAGAGGTGGCAACCTAAGGCAGTGCCATGTTTAAAGTCACTGAGCTCATCAGTACGACCCTCTACTGTCAGAGTTTGTCTATCGAGACTGGAAGGCTATGTGCTTAATTTTATACACCTGTTAACAATGGGCGTGGCTGAAACACCCGAACTCAGTAATTAGGAGGTGTGCCCCAATACTTTTGTCTACATAGTGTATATAAGATATATATTTATTTTCAAAAGAGACAAGAGGCAAAAAACATGAATCACTAATGCTTCTACTTACGCTTGTATTTTGTGTCTTTTTACTTAAAGCATTAAAAAGAAGAAACTACATTACACTGACCACCATTAATTGACCATGCACTTAGCATCAACTTCATTGTTTTTGTGTACACAGTGTTGACACCGGGCTCTGTCACAGCGGTAGAGTGGCACTTTAGAATTCACTGCCCTTATATTTGATATCCGCCGAGGAAAATATTCCTGATATCCCAATGTAACGTAAAGTCGGTTACCCGAAGGGAAACACTGTGCGAATGGCAAATCTTTGCCGTTTTCTTTCTGAACGGAACCCACATTGTGTATCTGAACTTCCCTAAACACAAAAGCTTTTGGGCCCTTGTGGTCCCTGAGCATGTCCAAGGCAGGGAGGATGCTGTACGCTCCCTCAGGGGTTGAGCAGGTGTTCACACATGGAGAGTTGTAGGTGTAGAAAACCACACAGCCGTGTTTATCTTTATCCAGGAGCTCCTTCAGCAGCGGATCATAGGAGGCATTTTCTGGGGGGTTCGACTGAATCAGCAGAAGGTACTCAGGGTGGTAGCTGCTTGCTTCATTGATCGTTTTTTGTTTGGCACCGATTATCCTCTGCCCTCTGTAAACCCCTGCAGTGCTGGCCATGGCAACTTTCACTTTCCATGCAGAATCATCAGGAAGGACGTTCTGATCAGGTTTTATACGAGTGGAACACTTCTCAGCTGGGACGTTGATGGCTACAGCGAACTGATCACTGACCAAATAACTGAAAACGCGAAATGAATAAGTCAAATAAAGTTAGAACAAAAAATCAAAACCATGTAAATCTCAATGAAAATAACATAGAGACCATTATGTCACCAATTAGCAACATAATTTATATAACATATATGTTTGATCTGATTACTGCTGCTATATGACAATGCTAATGTCTTCGAGTCCCTAAATGTGAAATTAGGTTATCACCAAGCTAGCAGTGGTGCACATGAATATTTTACAGCAGCTCTGCTTAAACACAGACATTTAAAGCTTGTAACAGACCCAGAGTTCTACAGGGACACCTTCAGTAAAGATTTGAATCTAACAGGGCACTTTGGCCCAAAACTAGAGTTACTGGTTACACATACGCTATTGTTATCCAATGGAATATTCTTCTTATTATTATTTAGCCAAAATTTTTGTCCACTAACTCATCCTGTAGTTTGGGATGATGTGCTTGTATTCAGCTTTTTGATTTGACAGGAAGTTTTCATAAAATAATTGTCAAATTATGATTTTTTTCCCCCATAGGAGTGAATGAGGAGAAAAAGTATGTGCAACCCAACTTATATCATGATGATAAAAGTTCATTAGAAACACCTTATTAAACTTGGGGAGGACCATAGCAGCGACCTACCAAAACCCTGTCAGCCATCAGAGATAACATAGCAACTGTCTAACAACACCCTAGCAACAACCTGTGATACCATAACAACCCCTAGCAACCAACTAGCCATAACCAGTTGTTATCAACACCTTAAGAACTACCTAAAATACCGTGCTAGCAACAGCCTAGGAACTGGTTAAGCTGCACAATCACTCTGCATTTTTTTCAGCACTTTGCAAGTTTAGTATGTTATATTGTGTTGTTCAGTATCCTGTAGCTCTGCATTATATCCCTCAGCCTCATTAGTAGTCATGTTGTACATAGTTTTCACGTGTTCATTCATCAGTGTTCTCTCACTACATTACCTAGTATGCCTTACGGAAACCAAACATGATTGCTAGCCTAGCCACTTGGCTATAGACAAGCTAGTGTTAGCGTAACCTCGGCCATCCAACAAAATCATAAAGAACATAGCGATGCTATCTTTATTCAGCAAAAAATGGACAAAAACGTCAGAGAAAATGAGCCAAACTGAGCTTAGGCATCTAGACAGCTAGGTAGCTACCTTGCTAATGTTAACTTTCAGCTTGTCATACTTCTGATCAGATGACTAATTTCTGTGTTTGGAGTGATTTATTGTATTAATGATTTGAAGACAGTTCTGCAGTTGTACAGCTCAAATGAGATATTTAGCTTTGTAGCAGTAATGTTAGCCATCCGCTTTCGTTATAAATTCCTGCTGACCAGGTCAGCCTACTCTAAAGGCACGTTGTGTTCATGTTGTAATTTATAAACGATACAATGCCTTTGTGAAAAACTGCATGATCATCCTGCTAGCCTGCTGTAGTTAGATATAGACATCAATGTTTGATCATAATTTAACTTCTTAATTTGTCTTAAATTTTGCATCTTACTTTTCGTTGAGAAATCTGATGATCTGTGAGAGATTCTGGAGAGCCTTAACAGCAGGACTTTTTTGCTTCTTGGAAGCCTCAACTGCATGAGAGAGCAGGGACAGCAGGAAGAGTCCCACCAGCACTCTAGAACACACCTGACCAAAACACACATGATCACCCACTACTAAGTACATAGACTGCATACATACAGACATACATATTGACATAAATTGGGATGTTCGATAAAGCTGTCTGATATCAAGATGACAACATTTAAAGTACAACACTGTGTGTGAGAACAATCCTTATGTTTGAAGCAGTTTTACAACTTGTAGTTGGAGGAGTGTTTGAACTGTGCACATGTGTGATTTGTAATTGGCTGTTTAGCCTAATGGTTAAGTTACTCGTCCCCCACATAAGAGAACAGGAATAGAATTCCACAGCAGAGAAACACTTATTAGGCTTCTAACAGTCTGTAATGATATTTTTCAGGCCCTCTGTGTACAGAGTAATTGTATCTGTTCTGTCATTGCTGCTCTAATGTGTTTATCGTGGAAACTCGTATCATGATAATAAAAGTACAGGGGGTTGGTAGCCCAGTGGTAGGAGAGGTGAGCCAACAACCTAAAAGTTAGGGGCTCAAATCACATGTTTGACTGAGTAAAGATGGTATTTGGGAAAACTGGAACAAGCATCCTGCAGCCATATGGTTGTCATTCCATCAACACAATGTGTGTGATCAGCCAATGCCAGTGATGAATTCCAAATCAAGATAAAGTCTATTTGATTGGAGGTGTTGATCCATACAAAATTGATAAGTTATCCCAATTATGCATTTTTGCCCACAGCAACATATCCAGACATTTATAATTACCTTAAATACTGCATCAATGTGCACATTGCAGGAGTTAACAGCATACAAATCAGTAGAATCATAGAATCTGTCTGTTGAAGGGTCAGTAATACTCTGTCTTTACCATCAACTACACCATCAAACACCATCATGGTCACCTATCGGTGTTTAATGGGGTTAAGCTAAGGTGGCCCCTGGTATCTTTCGGACATTAACTGCATTCATTGTTGAGTTAAAACAGAAGAGATCTAGACATAAATAGTTACACTGCAAGTCAGTCATCAACTGGAAAATGATCAGAACACAAGAGCTCCTTCTTCTCCTGACTAGGGGTGGGAATCACAGATATGATATTATCATAATATGTTGCCCACAATAATGATCATATCACAATACTGCAATTCTCTGATACTTGATGTATTGCAAGACAATCCTTTACAAAACATCACAATATCTGTTTAACTGAAGAAAATAAAATACTTGATATGAAGCAATGTACAAGAAAGTGCACAGCTTAGCTTCATGCCTCTTTAACACTCATGCACTGACTGCATGTGTCATCATTCCAATGTAAAATAGCCATAAACTGCCAGAAAGCAGAACAGTGGGGTTAAAATGTCTAAAGGTAGAACACAACTGCACCTCATTAACATCTTTTCTAACTCTGTAAACTTACAGTAAAAAATAAATAAATTTACACAACATATATAAATGCAAAAATACACATTTCTCTCTCAAAAAGAAACATATTTAAAATTACACATTTAGTGCTTAACAAGCTTAACCAACTTGTTTAATGTAAACTGGACATGTTTCAGTGCTTATTCTGCTTAATAAGCATAACAAACCTGTTTTGTGCAAATGTAGGAATATTTTAGTGTTTACCAACCAGTTTTATATTAACTGGGCACGTTTTAATTCAACTTTTGCTTTAAACATTGTATTAATTGTAGGCTGACTTTGAGTTGTGGCAACATTAGCTTTTCTCAAAAGCATTTCTCAATAACCAGATCAGGATGATGACAAAGAAGGTTGATGCATGTTCGTTGTGTTGCCCGTGTACTTTATTTTAACGAGACAATTCTTGCAGATTGCAGAGTCCTTCTTCAGTGACCTTCTTTTTTTCACCGCAGGTTTACCCTATTCATTTGATTAGTGCCGTAGCGCCACCATGTGGAGTCATGAAGTAGTGAATCTGGTAAATCAAATTGGATGGGGAGTCTGTTTAGATTTAGACTGTTTAGACTGTTTTTGATGAGAGCAGACTTAGCAACTTACTTCTTCTTAGCTGACTTAGCTCTTCAGTCTTTTTTCTCTCACGGTGTCAGACTGTAAGAAGTTGCTATAAAATCTCAGAGTATTTAGTATTTGGTTGATGATGTTATTTCAGCCATCAAAACAGCACACAATGGCTAAATTTTATCTGTCAGCATGCTTTATTAACTAACGCTGGACAGTGGCTCTGTGGACACCAATGTCATTGCAGTGATGAGCATTCAGGTCTGTACTGTTCTCTCTCTTTCACTCTTCTTCTCACTTGTGAAGAATGATGGTGAAGGATGACTCACCTGACCAGATCAAATCTCCATCCACATCTCTGTAGACCAGTGCTGATGGTTTGTACACCACTCACCTCTCAGATGGTCATTTGTCTGTGTAACAAGGGGTTTATGCACTGCAGCTCTACTATAATATCCTGAACACACTGTTCCTATTGAACCCCTGGGGGTGAGCAGTTGAGTGGTCTTTGTGGCTGTAGCTCCATCCGTGCCACAATAGTGAAACCTCTAATCACCAGAAAATTAACTTTGCAAGAATTGGAAGTTAATGTAGAAATTATTTATCCCAAGAAATTTTGGTACATTTATCTTGAAATCATTTCTGTTGTTATATTCATCTTGAAATTTTTTACATTTTGATTTTTTTTTTTCTTGAACCAATGTAAAGGGCAGTTGGCATTTTTACATCATGTCAAAAAATGAAAAATGAAAACCAGAGGTTTTGTCCTGACAACAACAAACCAAATACACAGTTCTCCTTCGAAAACACTTCTCGCTTCAGAATAACTGTTTAGCTTCTGCCTTCAATACATTCTTTTTATGTTCTGCATTTATTCTGTAATTCTGCAGTATTTACTTAGTTTAATGACGAGGGAGAGAGCAGCAGTAATGTTTGGGGTATTTACAGTCATCACTCCACTGGGTGAGAATAACAGACAGCAGAACATGAATACATACATACATACATCATCTAAACCGCTTATCCTTCTGGGTCGCGGTGGGGTGCTGGAGCCTATTCCAGCTGTCATCGGGCAGAAGGCAGGATACACCCTGGACAGGTCGCCAGTCCACCGCAAGGCAGACAGACAGACAGACATACACATTCACACCTAGGGGCAGTTCAGCATGTCCAATTGGCCTGACTGCATGTTTTTGGACTGTGGGAGGAAACCGGAGTACCCGGAGGAAACCCACGCGGACACAGGGAGAACATGCAAACTCCACACAGAAATGACCCTGGTCACCCGGCCGGGAATCGAACCCAGGCCCTTCTTGCTGTGAGGCGACAGCGCTACCCACTGCGCCACCGTGCCACCCCAGAACATGAATATATAGAGAAAAATCAGAGGCCGTATCTTACCATGGCTGAAGGAGTCTGAGGAGTTTCTGAGTGCAGATGATGAAGAGCTGAACTTTCTCAGCAGAAAGAGCTGCAGAGGAGAAAGTGGCGCAGATTTGTATCCACTATGGCCCCGCCCACTCAGCCCCTAACAGCAAACAGATGTTAGATGGCCTGGATAAGATGCTTGTTTTAGTTTCAGTCTGAGTAAGTTGTGCCAAAGTAGGAAAATATTTCCTAAGAACCTTTACAGAAAGTTTATTCTTCTTCTTCAGAGACCATATTAGTCCACACAGCTGAATAAGAAGTGTTACTGTAAGTCTGGGTTGAATCAGCCCCCTCCCGTTCACTGTTTTAAATCTCTAAGGATAAAATTTTTTTGTTAAAAACTTAAATGTTACATTTTCAGACTCATGTAGTTGTATTTAGCACACAGACTGTCTCTGTGCTCTGTGAAAACCTGAACACTGTTAAGGTAGCTATGAATGCTGCTGCTTCACATAGGCCAGACAAGCAATACAGATTTAAAGAAGAAATCATTTAATGTGAATGAGAGAGATCAGCTGCTCTGAACAGCAATAGTGTTGATCAGTTTGATTAATTTTAACAGCTCTTGCACAGTAACGTTAACATTAACGTCAGTGATGTTACTGTTCAACAGCAACAAAGTAACATTGTCAGGTATTTTACTCAGGAACAATGTAAAACATTTATTATGGCTTTAATTATTACGTTTGTGTAGTTTTATGCATCAAAAAGTCATAATACTTTTTACATGATCAGTTTCCAACCTCTCTTTATCCTTTACAATTAAACAGCCTGTTTTTGTTACTGTGCCTTTAAGTATAAATATATTTTTTGCAGTTTAGTGTACATACATGGAGTATACAGATTGTGTACTGAACTATAGGTCTTTGTATGTTTTTTATTTTAACAAAAACAAGGTAAATTTGGTGTTCTGAAATATGGGCTCTTTAAATGTACTAAACCTACAAACATCTTGCAAACAAACCCAGACAGAAGGCTTTATCTTCACAGAGAAATCTGTAATCCGGACTAGATCCCAAGAATTGAGCTAGAACAAGAATTCAGAGAACGTGCTGGA